TGTTCCAGAGACAACTCACCTCACACACTTAAATACTGCGTGATAAAGATAAATATCTAGAACAGGAAAAGGGTGAGTTGCCCTCTGAAGATACCTTTCCCCACTCACTACTGAAACTGTTAGGCCAATTTAGAACAAACACACAGATTTCTCTGAAGCCAAAATTAGCTCAAGCTTATTCCTAACCATTTTAACACTAAGGCTTTTTTTTTTTTAACCACACACATCAAGTAATACCCTTATACATTGAAGCTTCCAAATACCACGTTTCTATGGCAATTCTTAGATTAACTGGTCCTGCAGTGATGCATTAAAGAATGAAAAAAAAAAAGGAAAACAAAGTCAAGTAATGTATAGTTTCCAGGTTATTGATAGGACCCTGACCATTGACTCTGGCTAATGAGATATGGGGAAGCTCTAGACCATCTAACCTCTGGTATTATTTTTTTTTCCTGTTTGTGTTATATGACTGAATTATTCCTGTTACTCCTATCAGACGAGCTCTTAAAACACCGAGTACAAAACTGAGTTGCTCTTGTTCCTTTATGAAGACAGCTCTAAATTTCATATGCAGAACTGAAACACATAATAATAAACTACAGATCTATCAACTTCACATTTAATAGAAGAGCTTTAAGAGTCCCATATAAAATACTGTCTCCCCTCTCCAGGCTTCCAATAAATGGGTAACATGGCTCAATGCAGTCCTGGAGTAATAGTTAGACTTGATGATCTTAACAGTCTTTTCCAACCTAGTTGATTCTACGATGCTCCTTAGAGGGAAACATACAGCCTTTTAGGCCATTCTCTTACATCATAAAGAAACAAAAAGATCTTTTCAGATCCCTTTTGTATTTCTTTCTTCATCTTGTCATAACCATGGGTTATTAGCTAATGATACTTTTAGCTCTTCCATACTTGCCACTATTTATTAGAGCATTAGGACACAGGAGTCACGAGGTGTAAAATGGTCACACAAAACAAAGTTAAAATACAAACAAAGAAGATGGAAATGTCACAGTAGGAAGCAAAGGAATATCTTTAAGGTCAACATACAAGACTGAAAGACAGTTGAAACACCATGTATTTAAAAAACAGTGAACTGAGGTGCTCCTATTAGAGGGCAACACATTCAGAAACAGTGGAAAAGGAAAAATGACTGATAATGAATAGGAAAAGGGAGAAAACAGTCAGGTATGGGAGAGTCAGCAGAAATTTCTCATAAAGCCTGAAGAACTGAGGGAAGTTAGTTAAGCTGTGATGGTACAAGGTGAAGAAACATCAGAACTTAATTCCATAAAATCCCAAATTCCAAGGAAAAAGGAGTCAGATTCAGAGGGAAGCAAAGCAGCTTTTGGGAATAACTTCAGATACAGACGCTGGACACACGAGGTCTTGGCAAAAAAAACAGGAATGCAAAAAGGAGGAGGTTAAAATGAAAGGTAGTGGGTTAAATAGAAGAATCTAGAGGATGCAGTGGACTCAGAACTTAAATAAGTCCTATAGACCATAAAACATAAATTTTGGGAACAGAACCAAGTAGAAATGATAGAATCTATGGAAAACCACCACCATATGATCAGAAAATACCAGTCAAAACACCACATACATCAAGAAAACAGAAGGGACAGTGCTAAGTGCCAAAGGTGACAGATTAAGACAGATGAAACAAGAATTATACTTCAGATTTAACCACTAACAAGCCACCTGTGACCTTAGAGCAGTGCAATGAACTCAAAACATCAGAAAGAAGACTGGAGGAGATCAGCGAAAGCGTGGGTGGACAGGAAGTCAAGACAATATAAAGATATACCATTAAATATTGATAGAACTGAAGACAGGATGTAGGACTGCAGTGAAAGAGGAATATACGCTGTAAAGACATTTCAAAATAAATCTCTGAAGGAAGTGTTTATTTTCAATGAAGAGAAACTGAAGCAGAGCAGTTTAAATGAAACAGAACTTACAGAGGGAGTCAGGAACAGTAGCAAGTGTAAGCGATTAAGTCAATGGGAAAGGATGCAGCAGCAAGTGTAAAGGAGACTTCTAAATCTCAAAGAGATGAAAAAGACTGCAGAGAAGAGTTGCAGCTATTTTAAGCCAGTGTATTTGGTGCACAACCAATAGAGTTCTTTAACATCTTTACTCTGACATTTTAAGGAAGTGTTGAATTTTCAAGCAGCACTGCATTAAATTCCTGAAGAAGAAATTTTCATATACTTATTACTCACTTTTACCTTTTAATCCTTACCATCTGGAAACATTTACAGTTACTAAAAACTCAGGCAACCAGGGAAAAACAAAAACCTAAACAACCCTCTCACACAATAAACCCACCACACACACAAACAACCAGGAATCATACAGACTCCTCCATACCAGGAAATCAATGCAAATTGGGAAGGATTTGCTACTAGCACTTAACCTTCACCTTACAGAGTTTATTTTTAGGGTTCGGTGGCAAGCTGTCACTCTAGAGTGAAGGAATAAGGGAAAAATTGAGACTGAGACACTGTTTTCAGTTATGTTTTTTATCTTAAATTACCTGTTAAAGAAAATAAAAGTTAAAAGCAAACCTTTATCACTAGATTAATTGCTCCTTTCTTGTGCAGCCTTTCATCTTATCTTTTCAACATTATATGAATTAACAGCTCTCTAGAACAGGAAGACTATAAAAGTTTAAAGCAACACATCTGTAAGTACCTACTAACATTTATTCTTTGGTAGGATGACACTACTGTTCCTGTTCTGCTCTGAGTGAACCTGTTTTATCACACATACTCAAAGCAAATTGATACATTATAACGATACTGTATGTTAACCACTTACAGTCAAAAGTTCATTTATCAATAGAGCTGAGAAAGAACTGGGCCCTGGTATCCCATAACTGCCAACCTTATTAAGATAGCAAGCTCAACTACATTTGTTCACACATAGCTCAAGGAATTTTCTTCAAGATTTGCATTTATTTCCAGTTATTATTACAAACTCTGGTATACACACACACACACTTGCTGCCCTATGACATTAATCCTGTGGCTAAAGAAAAACTAATCCTGCCTAGATACAAGGATTTCATGCTATGGCTTTGGATTCCTTTTTTGACCATCCTCTATTAGTTAGTCATTCCAAACAAACAGATAAAAATTAGTCACAAAGCATTTTTTTATCCAACAGAAAGCAAGTTAAAATCAAAATATTCAATTTAAAATCAAAATTAAAATCATTATTAAAACCACAATTGTATTTTAATTTCCATATCAAAGCTGGTGCTGGAGAAACCTTATCAATCACTTTCTTTGTTATTAATTCAAACTATCTGCATGAAACTTAGAAATTAATAGGTGCAACCAGCCAGCCAGATCATAGAGGAGAACAAAAACCAGCTCATTTGGACTGCAGTTGTTTCTTGGTATTCCTGTTACACACAAACGGTCTTGGCTTTAACACTCAACAGTCTTGCATTTTGTGGCCAAGCTGTCAGTACAAAGGAACCACTAAGCCCAAGATCATTTCTGAAAAACAAATGCTGATATTACAGCAAATTAGGACTGCTATCAGGTTAGCAAGAGTACTTGAAACGCTCTCTATTAATGAAGGGATAGTACCCTTGAAACTAACTTTACATAGATTAAAGAAATTAACTCGTGACACAACACTGTTAATTCATAAACTTCTTGTGTTAGGGGGCACCTCCTTGTTCTATGGCAGTACAGTGCGCCTAGCACACCATGTTCCTGTACACTACTAATATTACTAGCACCACTAATTACTCAATGTACACCACCAAAATAGTCTTAAAAGGCTTCTACCCCAGCATGCTTCGACTAAAACTTTAACACACAATGCAAAGTTCAGTTCCTGGGTGCTGCTATGCTCTTAGTTCCCTCTGAACTGCCTTTCTAATCTTCATTACTATAAACACCTGTACTATTAGACTACTCCTTTGCTGAAATCCCTTCATTAACTCAGGCCAGGACTTTCTGTTCCTTCAAGTCATGCTTCTTTCAAAGAGACTGTCGATGTTGCCATATGATCCCCATAACTGGTGCATCTCAATACCTCACTATTATTACTAAGCTTACACATGGACTACCCTACTCAGCAAACTACTATCAAGCTAATAAAATGGACTGAGGAATGATAAACACCAGAGGCTTGACCTTTAGAAGCTTATAATGCAGTTTAAATTAACGGCAACTGCAGGCATTCAGGTTCATACGAGGATAAAGCATTACATGACTTTCACGGGGTGTCTGTCTCATTGCCAGATCTCTCTTAGGTCTCACATCATTGCCACAACTGCAAGATCAACTTCCTGCCTCCCATCACAACTTAAACTTTGTCTTTAAGATGTCTGCTAGTTGTGCCTTATCCAGGCAACAAGGAACAACTCTTGCTTTCATGTGAAGAAATGCCACACATTCGGTAGCATATAAACAACACAACTATTAAAATACAATCATACTTCAGGCTGATGAAAGAATCACTTGTGAAAAGCTTGTGAGATAAGGAAATTCAATCCTGTCCCACTGATTAAATCTCACAAGATACTAAACATGGGCAGCACATGAACATCACACCCTGCTACGACTGAATGCTGCGACAAAGTAGGAGGGCTAGGAACAGCACTAACCCACAAACAAAATAAAGCCTTCCAACATTGTCTTATTCTATTAACATCTTCCTCAAATAAATATTCCCAAGATCAAACCCTCCAGGAGAGACCACCCACCAATAAAACACTCCTGGCTAGCTCCCCTTTCAACTCCCACCTTCAGACTTGGAATCACAGAATAGTTTGGAATGGGAATGATCTTCAAAGATCATCTAGTCCAACCCCCTGCAATGAGCAGCAACATCTTCAACTAGATCAGGTTACGCAGAACCACATCAAGCCTGGCCTTAAGGAAGCAATGTGGGGGAAGAGGCACTCTGCTTGTGCTGAAAAGAGGAACTTGAGCTACTCTGCTAGTCTAGAAAAGAAACTGTCCCCTTACCTATGAAACATTATCCTCTACCACAGGAGACCTACAAGGGACAGCTAAGAACAAATAAGAGAGGGGCAGGCTGTCCTTCGGGAATCAACAACACAGCAGAGGATAAAGGGCCTCTCCCACCACGGTTACAAGGGAACGAAGGAGTCACTTTCCTCTCCCGCCCCGCACCCAACTACGCACACGCAGCCTATTCCCAAAGAAAACCAGAAGCAACACAAACGAACAAGAGCTCAGCACCCCTGGGCAGTGCCGCCCAGCTCTGACGGAAGGCGCCCACCCTCCTCCATCTTGGAGCCAGGCACCAACTTACCCGCCGGAGGCCTCAGCGCGCTCCTATTGGCTCACGCCGCGTCACGTGAGCAGCACAGAGCGCCACCTCTTCCCCCACCACCTTTGCCGGAGACTTAAACGTTTGCGGAGGGGGGCGAAGACCAAGGCTGTCGCCACGGCGCGCGCGCATGCGCCGGAGGAGGCGGTGCGCGTGCGCTGTCGCGGCGGCAGTCGGCGGCGGCAGCCGGGGTGCGAGGCGGTTCCGGGAGCGCGGCAAGAGAGGCGGGGGCACGGGGCGCGCGCACGCGCTCGGCAGCGGCGGGGGGAGGGAGGTGCGGCCCGGCCCCGCCCCGCAGGAAACGGTGCCGCCCGGGCCGCGCTCTGCGAGAGGGCGGGCAGGGACCGGGAGACAAACCCAGAGAGGACCGTCGGGGAACAGCCGCCTCCCTCCGCTCTGCCGGCCCGCAGCCCACGCTCCGGTAGGACACCGGCCCGGACTCCGGAGCGGGGCAGCCCCCTCCCCTCCTCTCCCTACATCCGCCCCGTCCTCTGAAGCGGGAGCGCCCTCGGCGGGCTGCTGGGTGACCGTTCCCCCGTCCGCCGCGCCCCGCTGCCCCTTTCCAGCCGCGATCCCTTCGCCGCGCTTCTTCTTCTCAGGCTTCGTCCCGATGAGAGAGCCCGGCACTTGTTGCTGACGCGATGGTCACCGGCCCGGCCGAGCAGGCAAGGGACCGCTGAGACCGCCGTGGGAGAGCTCCGCTGCGGCTGCCGTCGACGACCCGGCCCCTTCGGGGAGATCCGAGAGGTTGTTTCCTCCTAGCGCCCGGCGGCGACGGCTTCCCAGGCGGCGTGAGGACTGCCCTCGGCCCTCGCGGGGATCTCGCCCGTAGGACCCCCGCTGCCCGCCCCGGATGGTGACGGCGGGCTGAGGGGGCACCGCCAGAAGCCTCCCGCCCCTTGCTGCCCGCGCCTGGCCTCCCTCGGCAGGAGCAAAGATGTCTTTCTTCAACTTTCGGAAGATCTTCAAGCTGGGTGGTGAGAAAAAGAAGAAACAATACGAGCACGTCAAGAGGGATTTGAACCCTGAGGAGTTCTGGGAGATTATAGGAGAGCTGGGAGATGGTGCTTTCGGTAAAGTGTTCAAGGTAAGGGCAAGAAGGAAACTCGAACCGCTTGTATGGCTCGTTGCTAAAATATGACCAGCGTATCGCTTCTGCGTCCTGTCTAAAGCTTGCCTGTCTGCAAGCGCTGTCACCTTGGGATACCTGTTGTAAGCATCAGGTGGCTGGAGAACTTCGTTAGGCCGGTAGGTGCTGTGTCCTCCCGACCGGGGGAATGTGCCCGGGTGCCGGAGGACAAGCAGAGCCTGATCCAGGCGCCTCTTGTCCACCGAGCCTCACGAAACTAAAGATAGAAAAGACCTATTAGGTCATCGTCCCGCCTTCTGCTCCACCCTGCCCGTTGCGGAATCGCTCGCTTCTCCTGTATTTTGTTGGGTTTGGACTCGTGTACGCAGAGTGGCTTCTGACATTACAGAGACTCTATTTTAGGTGTGACCTTCATAGTTATTTAATATTTTCCTAAGTTTCTGTACGGAAGGAAGCCCGTGCACAGGAAAATTGACTTGTGTGCCTCGTGAGTAGTTTATAGGGCCAAGCTCACGTTGCTTTTAATGGGCATTCTCCTCTCCTGTTCCATCTGGGATTGAATTAAATAGTTGTGTTCTCTTGGCTTGCTTTACGTGGCAGCATTCCTGTATTGGATCTTCTAATTTCTCTTAGGTGTTTGACTTTTCTATCTCTAAGTATACTGGCACAAGTAGTGTTTTTAAGGATGCTTATCTAGAATTTATCAAGCAAAGTAGAACATAATGACATAGTTATAGCACTGCTAGTGTTTGACAAGGCTGTAGCTTTCAGGCAAATCTTTAGCTACTCTTCCTTTTTCTAAAAGGTATTAACGCCTCACATTTGGTTTAGGGGTAGTGTGGAAAAAACATCATGGAGGATAAACATGAGAGAATTGGGGAACTGACATGAACAGAGACCCTGGAACAGGTTCTTGAGATTGGGAAAAAAACAGTGTGAGAAAGAATTGCAGTTAAAGTGTCTCTGAGAGCTAATTAGGTCAAGAAATATTTCTATTTAGAGTACAGCACTTGAGAGGTTATGAAATGTGCAAACTCAAAACTTGTGCTGTTTTTGCTAGAAACTACTTTAGATTTTATTGTAGTGTGGTGTTACCTGTTTGTAAATTTGAGCAAAAGCGTCACAATCAGTTCAGAATGCCAGGTGGGGTGTTTTCTCATCCTAGAAATTTCTGTCAGTGTCCTATTATAAGAGCATCTAGTTTATGTTGGTGTAATTTGTAGTCTAGATGGTGGTTCTCATGCTAGTGTGGAAGATAAGAGATTTGGTTTTTATTAAAATGACAGGGAAATATGTCTGAAGTTGCTCTATCATAAAACTTGGTGACTGTAAAAACATAATGTTGTCTCTCATGGCACTTGTAGATGATTAAAAGTTCTTTAAACTTCATAGTGGAGTTTTGATTCCTTGTTGGTGAATAAAATGCTGTCCCTTAGAGATGACTGGGGAAGCCTCAAAGCTACAATAATAAATGTGTTCTTCTCCCCCATATGCATTTCCTCACCCATCTTCAAACCTCTTCTCACTTCATGTTTGTCTGCAGACATGTCTGTATAAGCCATAGTCTGTAGAGGAAGATATCTGAGCAAGACAGCTGGCAAATCTTGCATTTCAGTGTGCTTTGTGTGTCATAACAGTTTTTTCCAGTTGGATATGATCTTTTACTTTGAGATTTATTTCTGTATGGGAAATGACAGTGTTAACTGATGAAATTGATTTATTTTGTTTAAATCCGATTTTTAAAGTTGTAGTAGTCAGAATGACACATACAGTTACACTAGTAAACATGTTGAACCTCGCACTCATGAAAAGTAGAAACGACTAGTATTCCTAGGGAAAAAATAAATCCCATTTAAAAAAAAAAAGAAGTCTCCTAGTGCATGTAGTCAGCAGCACTCATTTTGTTTCCATCTAGTTTGAGGAGGAGGATTATGCATAGATACTAACTGTACTTGTGTTCCTGCATCTGAGCATGCTTGGCAAGAAACTGTTTTGAAAGCAAAGGTGTGGTAGGTTGCGCTTCCTTGGATGAGACGCTGCAAGAAAAGCTGTTCAATACCTTCTCAAATTTTGGAATCTAAGCTGGAAACTAGAAGAAAACTGTCAACATTTAAAGAATTTGCCTAAGTAATGTAAGTGGGGTGGTGGTTTAATTTTACGTGTGAGGTGGGGTTTTTGTTTGTCTACAAAACCCAACACCCCAGTGTCAGATTTGGCAAAACTGTATTTGCCTTTGTTTAAGATCCTTGAAGTTGGTGTGTGACTGAGTTTTGGCAGATACATGATCAAATGGAATTGTCAGATAAGTAAGGCTTTGTATGCTTTGGGCTTCTAATAAAAAATATAGGTTAGACTGGTTACATGCTATGATTTCCTGTAGAGAAGTATTTGGTTTAGTTATGTAACTCTTCTTCTGGACAGACTATCAAATATTAAAATAAAAACTCAAACGCAACTCTTAAAATATCCTGTCAGTACTATGAAGCTTACCTGATTACATTTTTTACATTAAAAAATGCTGTGTCTAGTGATAACTAGTTTTGTATCCAGATGTCTTTAAGGGTACTGAAAACTTGTGATTTACTCCCCTTCTTCCCAACCAGCTACAAGGGTCTTGCTTGTTTTTTTAATAACATAGCCAAATTGACAAGCTTATTTCCTTTGAAGCTGTTTAAGTTTCCTAAAGCTTTCTTAGCTCTGACAGTTCATACATTTGTATTCACTAAGTAATGTTTAGAAATACTCTTCAGTGTTTCAACTGCTGTGGCAAGTCTGTTGTGATCAGAGGAGCTGTGTAACTGCAGACTACTGATGCCAAAGGTTTATGGTTGTGTAGGACTTTTCATTGCTAGCCCTTTTCAGCCTCTTCAGTGAGGCCACTTTTAGGCTGTTTTCTTTTTGCTCTTGGCTAGTGTGGTTTTCCATCCTTTTTCAACTTATAGGCCCTTGCAGTACTTCAGGATCAGGTGATGGCCCTTGTAAAGAGAATTTCAAGGTTGCTGATGATAGACTTTTTTTCTGATGTCTTTTAATTGCCTTTCATGTATTATTTAGAATTACTGAATGGACTGCCAGGGTTCTGACAGCCTCTGAAGAAGCACAGTATTAACATTGGAGGCTGATTTCAACTTTGAAGTTTGACCAGCTAGATTGCAAAATATTCTTCTCTTTTTTTTTTTTCTTTTGGTGAAAGAAAAAACAAAAGACAGTTTGATTGACAGTTCTGGATTTGATCAGGTTAAGTTGCCTGAAAAATCATAGGCTCTTAGTGTTTAAGTTAATAGTAGTAAGTTTTCTTTAGAAGTTAGTTACATTATTATATTATGCTATTTTATTGTGTTATATTGCCCTATTGTATCCAGTATCAATTCAGTGCACATAGTAAACATTCCTTTAAGGTAAATCAGTATAAGTAGGTGTTAGACTTTCATCTGCTTTAAGTTACTTTCTAAATTCACAGAAGTTAATATCCAGATGGTGTGAAAACAGACCTTTAAAAAGCCTGATCTGTTCTTCTGCTCATGCTAAAGTTCCTGTCTGAGAGTCTTAATCATACAGATACCATCCTAAGTTAATCTCTTGAAGTGCTAGGACTGTATTTCTCAGCCCTTTTGGTAGTCAGAGCGCTTAAATTGCAGAAAGGCGTTTTCCTAGTGTCTAGTTGGTGTCATCTATGAGCCCTTCACTAGAGGATAC